TTTTTTATATATAGAAATAATTACAATATATTGGATGGCCTGAAATTGAGTTTTCCCAGAAATTTCAGAAACATTGGCATAGAGTTGTGCTGACTTTTACAGACAACTGAGCAGCCTTTAGTTTCTCTTTCTAATATGGTGAAAAATAATTCCTGTCATCCATTGTCTGGATGACAAGTGCCATAATTTATTATCTCAGATGTTTATTTTTTGCTTTTTATATTACTTTTTATTTTTATCTAGAATACTGATTACACATAGCTTAAAAAAATACAAATACCATGAAGCTAATACTGAAAAATAGCATTCCCTAACCACACCTTTTTCCACCTCCTAGTACCCTGTAGAATTGTATCTGTTTGTTTTTAAAACTTGTTTTCTTGAAGTATTTACTTGTATTTCGTAAATATTATCCTCATATTGACACTTACGCATTCATCATTTAAACATCTATTGAGTTCTACTGTGGAAGGTATGAATTAGCATTTTTAGACCACATACTTCCCTCTCTCTCCTCTATCATTCTGAGTAATTTCCTCCAAGATTTGGTTATGTAAATATTATGAAAATTTATGACTATGTAACAATTTTTACGGCTGAGCAAAATAGTGAATCATGACTGCAATTTCTTTCTTGCATAACTTTTTGTTTTCCCTTGAGTTAATAATTCCTTCACAATTTTTGGCATATATTTCTATCTATGTATCTATGTATCTATGTATCTATCTATCTACCTATCAGTCATCTACCACTAACTAATTCTTCTTAAACTGACCAATAGAACTTTAAGGACATGTTGTTGTCGTTGTTAGGTGTCATCAAGTCAGTTCCATCTCATAGCGACCCTGTGAACAACAGAATGAAACACTGCCCAGTCCTGCGCCATCCTCACGATCGTTGTTATGCTTAAGCCCATTGTTGCAGCCCCTGTGTCAATCCATCTCGCTGAGGGTCTTCCTCTTTTTTGCTGACCCTGTACTTTACCAAGCATGATGTCTTGATGTCCTTCTCCAGGGACTGATCTCTCCTGACAACATGTCCAAAGTATGTAAGACATAGTCTCGCCATCCTTGCTTCTAAGGAGCATTCTCATTGTACTTCTTCCAAGACAGACCTGTTCAATCTTTTGGCAGCC